GAAGCCAGTTTGACAATAAATTTCATAATAAAAAGTAAAATAAAATAAAATAAAATAAAATAAAACTGTACCTCATTAGAATTAGGCTTTAATTATAGATTTCATGCAAGTAGAAAACTATTTAAAAGTGGCTACAATACAAGTAGACATTTATTTCTCTTCTGTAAATAAAGACCAAGGGTGACACTCGAGAGTTTTATGATGGCTCCACCTTTACCAGAAACTCAAGTCCATACATGTCTGTGCTCTGTCATGTCAAGGGTCACGTGAATGTAGTCTGGTCCAAGATGGCTGCTAGTGCTCCAGCCATCACCTCTGTGTTTTAAGCATCAGTATGAAGGAAGGGAAGAGGAGAAGGTTGTGTCTCTTCCTTTCAGAAAGTGTTCTTACAAGTCTTACACAATACTGCAAAGGGACCTGCAGACTTACCTGGGAAATCATGTGCTCAGCTAAGAATGGGGGCTCTCTTAATTTGAGGAAGTTGGGCAGAATAACTACTGGTGGGGAAATAATCATCTTTGCCAGACTGTGGGAGGGATATTATCGCATCAGTCATAAGCCTTGGTGTGAATAAGTCTATCGGCTCCCTTTTGAAAGCTAGATTTCCAAAGGAAGGAAGACTGGCAAGCATTTTAGGGCACCAGGCAGGGGAGAATGGAGCCTGCTGAATGAGGTGGATGGAAGATATTAAAGACAAACCTCCTCTATTTTACAAGTTTGCTCAGAGCCAGCATCAGCTCAACTCCATCTTTCTTATTTATTCGTTTGTACATTTAAAGAATTTGGATTCTATACTAACAGGGAAGGGGTTATGCATCACTTATATTTATTTTGTTTCAAAAGACTACACTTTAAAAAAAAAGATTTAATTCTTGGGTTGTGCTCTTTCCCCTCTTTTATAGGGAAACACCTTCTTATGCCAAGATAGGTTTGGATTTCCATGGTTATTATATTCATCTTTGTCAGTGTGTCCCTCCCTTCCTGTGAACCCCAAAGGGCATGGAAAAATGGCATCATATTGATAAAATGTGATGCCTTCCAAGGCATTCCTTGAATATCCTATGTGCAAATATGGTCAAAATGAATAATTCAGACCAACTGGAGTGAACATTTCTCCACGGCTGCTTGGGGTAAAGCTGGCTGGCTTTGCAAAGTAGTTCTCTTTATAAACTAGCAACATTGCTTTATGATGTGACTGCATGGCAAGCCAATTTCTTAAGTGATTCAAGAATATGCATTTAGTATTTTCCACTCATTTGGCCCTTAGAACTAACATATAGGGGAGAGCATCTGGCCATGCTACACCTTGTCAGAATCAATGACGGAAACTTCCTAAGTTTCTCCATTTGACTCCGCCAGTCCCCAAAATTTCACTGGCTTCCAGCTACCTCCTCTTTCCTTTTTTGATACCTTTAATCACAATAAGACAGAAATTTCAGGAGGACATTGAGGGAGGAAAGAGATGGTAAAAAAAAAAAAAAAAAAAAAAAAAAGAAAGAAAAGAAAAGAAAAGAAAAGAAAAGAAAAGAAAAGAAAAGAAAAGAAAAAAGAAAGATACAGTTAGGAATTTGATGATGCTCTCATGTTTGCTCCAAAGTATCTCCAGTGCAAACATGTCCACTTGCAGAAAGATACATTCCTAATCAAAATGGTGAAGTGGCTGCAAAGAGAACACCTCTGGCCTCTTGGGGCAGCCTTTGCTTTCCCCCTGCACTCACTGTCCCCCAACTACCCCTTCCCCATCCCCACGCCTGTGTGGTAATGTGGATTTCTCTCAGGGATGTTGGTGAGATTAGGAAAAAGATCTGTATTGCATATCATGCAGGGGGAAAATGTCATCGAGAAAGCCAGTTCCAGCAAAATAAAATGACCCCTGTTGGTTCAGGAAAAATACTGTCCCCAGTATCCCCAGTCTCTCTCTCCTGCTTTTTCCGTCTCCAAGGCTTCACCGTCTCCCTTTTCTCTCTTCCTTCTCCTAAAGGGCAACATAAAGCCTGGTGAAAGCTTAGTTACCTTCCCATGAGACATATGAATTGTACATTAAAACAGGGAAGAAGCTCAGTGGGTGGAATGTTCAGCAGAGTGAATCATGGAAAGAGCCGACTCCTGGAGCCAAAGGGAGCTGGCGTTGGTCCCCAGTTCTGTCACTTGAACACTGACTGTCTTGGGCAAGTTACTTGCCTTTTCTGAGTCACAGGGTCTTCGGTTTATAAAACTGAAACAATACCTGCCTCATTTGAGAATTGATTGAAATTATGTGTATAAAAATTAGTGCACTATCTGTTGCCTAGTTGGTGTTCAGTATTAGTTCTTTTACCTGATCATAAAGAGACGGGAATTGTTGAGGCAAGTTAGGTGGCCTTCCCAGTATTCTGATTGGCTGGGAGCTGTGTGGGGGGTGGGGGGAGGGAGAGAGAGAGAAAGAAAAGATAGAGACTGTGCGCAAGTTTAGGGGGAGTAAGGTTATTTAATTGCATTGATTTTTCCTGCCTCCTTAAGTCCTTTTGTTGTCTGCAACTTCCGGGTATGAAGGAAAATGGAAAATGAAAACAAGGGGTCCTTGTTGTCAAGGACCTGGATACTGGTCCAACAAGATACTGGAACCAACCGAAGCAATGGTTTGGGGTGATTTCCCCCATGAGCCGATAAAATTGTACTAGATTCCTTGTGGGTTTTTCTTAATTTTTTAAAAATTTTTATTTATTTTTGAAAGAGAGAGAGAGAGACAGAGAACATGAGTGGGGAAGGGACAGAGAGAGAAGGAGACACAGAATCCGAAGCAGACTCCAGGCTCTGAGCTGTCAGCACAGAGCCCAACTCGGGGCTCGAGTTCTTGAAATGAGAGATCATGACCTGAGCCAAAGTTGGACGCTCCACCAACGAAGCCACCCAGATGCCCCATTCTTTGTGTTTTTTTAGATCCACTTTCTTTTTTGGATGGTGCCAATCAGGTGACACATTTTGTTTCTCTGAGGTTCATTTTCTGTGCTGGCTACTCTGGGGCCAACACATTCTTTTGTCACGTGTTAATATCACTGTCTGAGGATCTGTCCAAATGACAGATAGCTTCGTTTTCTGTGCCAGAACCAATCTGATAGTCTTAAGTGCAAAGATTCAGACCTTCCTTGGCACCAAAATACAGGAACTAGGCATAGGTCTCCCAGCTTTTTTTGTCCCATAGCAAATGCAATGCCCAACCAGTGTTTTGACATGACCAGAAGGTTGTCCTTGTGCTGTGTGGACCCAGGCTTCTGCTATGTCTACAGGGTCCAGCCTCAGATCAGCTGCTGCTTTCTTCATGGTTGGGAGTGGGTAATACCCACAGAGCCAGACCTGAGTCACCCTTCCAGAAATGCAGAAGGCCCTAAGACTTCCGACAGCAATCTTTCCTGGGGTTTAGACAGTAATCTTCCCCCTGGGTGAAACTGACTCATACTTTTCCCCAAGGTAAAAATTCTTTAGCCTTTTGCCCGTGATGTTTGGGAAAATCATGAGCCATGTTTTTATAAAAATTATTTGGAAGACAGATAGATAACATCTATTATAATATATCATATAATCATATACAGTTATTTGTAACAATAAATTAATGATTAATATTGATAATTAAAATAATTTAAATTAAATTTAAAATAATTTAAAGTAATAAATTATACATATAATGTAATATATAGTATAATATATAAATATAAAGTATATTTACATATAATAATAGATATTATCTGTATTATCTATCTTCCATATTATGGTTATTATATATTACATATAATAATATATTATATGTAACTATAATATATAAATAGATATTTATCTAATTGTATATTATCTGTATTATCTAATCTTTATTATCCATATTATCCATCTGTATAGATATAGATATGATAGAGATAGGGATAATACAAGGAAATGAGTTCAATAGCTATAAAAAGAACTTCAAGCAAAATTTCAACCTGTCCATCACAGGGGAGATCTACAGAGATTTTACCAGGAACGGTAAAGGCCTGGGTGGCATTCTTGGCTTGACATACATGGCCACAATTTATCCATATTCCATTCCCACAATAAAGAAAAGTGGAAACCTGGTAGGTTATAAGAAATTTGCCCACTCTGGGGGCTTTCCTGATAATCCTCATAATATTCACTGTTGAACTACTTTGGCAGGACCTCTTGACTTTAGGCTCATGAGCACTCATTAAGTCTGGCATATTACTATGTCTCGAATATTACATATATCATGACCAAAAATATTTGATAAATTATTTCAACAAAATTAGTTTCACTGGTAATAGTAAGAGTTTTATTTTTGGCTTTTAAAATGATTATTCTGAGAAGAGGTTCATAGGCTTCAGAGAACTATCAAAAGGATCCATGGCACTAAAAAGCTGTGAATCCCTAAGGGAGTGGAAGAAAGTCTTTTTACATTACCCACAGCCTCATTAATCTCATTGTCGCGATTGCTGGTTCTATCTTCCGTGGTCTCACCACCATGCCCCTGTGGGTGTGTGCCCTGTGTGTCTGTGATACACTGTAACTGTTGATCTTTCTTTGGACAGAACACTTCTTTATACAGTAAAATTCATAATGGAAATTTTCTTCAAATTTATTTCAAAATGTATTGAACAAATCTTATCTGCCAGTTACTCTGCTAGCCAAAGAGGATACTAGGTCCAAAAAAAAAAAATTACTGTTCTTTGTCACCTTACAATCTAAGGGGGATGTGTGTGTGTGTGTGTGTGTGTGTGTGTGTGTGTGTGTGTGTGTAATAACTTCTTGATTTATGTTTTCCCCCCAGATCTTGGAAGCATCTGAGGTTTAATGAGGACTTTCCAGCATTCCAGACTGCTGCCCTGCAATGAAGCTCTGAGTCACGGTCTTTGGGACTAAGGTATTGGCAACAATGTGGAACCCCAGGACAGCCAACCTGACTAACCTTCGCTGTAACCAGGATCCCAAAAGGGGTCTGGCATGAAATCAGAGCATAGAGAAAGACTTGCTTGTTAATGGAAACAGGAAAGAAAAAAAGGGTTTCCAACAAATTGCAACAGACTTTCCACCATTCTAAAGAACCCACCTTCCTTATCGACCAAGCCGTTCTACCTAGTGACTCCCATTCCAGCCTTTTGCCAGAAACAGAGCATGTCAATCCTGCTGGAAAAATAAAGATAGGACCTCTGACAAGACCTGGAACAGTGATACTCTCAAAACGGTCCAGTAGGAGAATTATGTCAGAAAGTCCGCACAGCCCCCCTGTGATACCATCCCGCAGGCCTGGATTCCAGGTGTGCTATATCTGTGGCCGAGAATTTGGCTCCCAATCAATTGCCATTCATGAACCCCAGTGCTTGGAGAAGTGGCGTATTGAAAACAGCAAGTTGCCCAAACACCTGCGGAGGCCAGAACCCTCCAAACCACAGCCTCTCAGGGGCAGTGGGTCCTACAATCTTCAGGCCGTGAACGAAGCAGCGTTTCAAAGTTCCCAGGCTCAGCTGCTGCCCTGTGAATCCTGTGGCCGCACATTCTTGCCGGATCGTCGTCTTGTTCACCAGAGGAGCTGCAAGCCGAAGGATGAGGGGCCCAGAGCACCAAACCCCAACCGTTTTGATGATCCGACTGGTGCCAGGAAAGCTGCTGGTGGCATCCCAGCCCGACCAAAGACTCTCATCTGCTACATTTGCGGTAGGGAATTTGGCACTCTGTCCCTTCCTATTCATGAGCCCAAATGCCTAGAAAAGTGGCAAATAGAAAACGACCGGCTCCCCAGGGAGCTCCGCCGACCACTCCCACGGAAGCCTCAGCCCCTTCCAACTGGACAGTCCAACCAAGAGGAGCCAAGTCAAGCTCAGCTGGTGCCCTGTGCAAATTGCGGCCGGACCTTTGCCCCAGACCGCCTTCTGGTACACCAGAGAAGCTGTAGGGTTCAACCAAGTGCACCAAAAATTCAGAATTTGACCTTAGGGAGGAAAGGTGGCCTGAAAGAGTCCACAAATTCCAAGCAGCAAAGGAACATGGCAGTGCCCACTGTGACTGATAAGGTAACTCATGCCACGTGAGATGCATTGAGTGGACCTGGGGGTATATTCTGCCTCCAGGGGAGGGAGAGAAAATGATCCCCAGGATGCCCCACTCCTAGGATGTTTTCTTTTTTTTTTTTTTTATTTTTTTAACATTTATTTATTTTTGAGACAGAGAGAGACAAAGCATGAACAGGGGAGGGGCAGAGAGAGAGGGAGACACAGAATCCGAAACAGGCTCCAGGCTCTGAGTGATCAGCACAGAGGCCGACGCGGGGCTCGAACTCACGGACCGTGAGATCGTGACCTGAGCCGAAGTCGGACGCTCAACCGACCGAGCTACCCAGGCGCCCCGGATGTTTTCTTTCCGTGACTTATTTCTGCCTCTGTGCAGCCTGTCCGACCCCAGGGGCTGTATCTCTGATGGCCAAGTAGATGCGACAACATCCCCACCTGGTGGGGTTATAGTCCTTTTCCGCTCTGCCTAAAGAAAGAGAGATGGATGTCTTTCTTCCCTGATTCCTCATCCCAAGAATCCTTGGGAGAGACTGTTATTTGAAAATGAGTCATTAATGCTGTGTCTACATTGCAGAGATATAATCCCCATTCCAACGGCCCATATTTATGACCGGTTTATTTTAGTCATCTACCTTAGGAATTCATTTTTGGCAATGCGGGGTTATGCTGAGTTTATCTTGCTAAAATAGAATCTGTGTCAAAAGCCCCAAATGACTTTAGCAACAATTAAACACTGGAGCACTTGCAGAAATAGACGTGCTCTTCAAATACAGCATGTTTTTCTTTGAACACTTACACGATTGTAATATGTAGGAGATTAACTCCAGGGGAGTCTCCAAAGCAACGAGGTGTGGGTTCATGGTTCTGGGAAGGGTTTAGCTCCCATTGATGCTCTGTACGCTGTATTTGGGTTGGATACGAGACTCTGCTCCCCACTTGGGCAACTGGGAATAAGCATGAGCCCATGGGCCCCCAACCTCTATGGTGAAGTATCGTTTACCTGAAGTGTCAGTGTCAGCCGGAATTGGGGAAGAATGTGTGTGGCCCCCCACACAGCATGGTCCATGTGCTGCCCTTAAGCCCAGGAGTGGGTATACTGTTCTGGGTCATACCTTGCAGAATCTCAAATCATGAGAAATAGGAAGTGGTCAAAATTTTTTCTCCATGGCTTGGTACTAAAACACCCCACCTCTGCAAGGATTCTTTTTTTTTTTTTTTTTTTTTTTTTTTTTTTTTTTCTTTTTCAAGTAGGCTCCACACCCAGATTTGGACTAGAACTCATGACCCTGAGATCAAAAGTCACATTCTTTACTGACCGAATCAGTCAGGTGCCCCTGCAGGGACTCTTTAAATGGACTGCTTGGGGAAACTGAGGTTACCCAAGCTATCGTAAAGGATTCAACCAGAAGGATTGGGGGGCGGGGGAGTGGAGAAGGCAGCCTTTATTTCTAATGCAACTTTTCTTGCTTACTTTTTTTTTATTGCATTATATTGGCAACCTTCTAGTACTTTTCCATAACTTTCGTGTTTAAAATGAAATTATTAGAAACTTACTGGTTTACAAGTTTCCAAGACAATGATTCTAAAGCCAAAGGGTCAGACTAAGAGATGCCGAGCAAGTTTTCCAGTGAACATTGAAGAAAGAAAGGCTAGTTTCTGTGCCGAAATCAAAACCCAAGCTCTTTAAGTGTGGCATGGGCTGCAGGCTGGTCTCATAAACATGATCTGTTTTTCCCATCTTCTAGCTGTTGCTTTTCTTCCAGAACGTGTGGGGTCTGGATTCAGAGAACACACGAATCTGTGTTTCAGGGCCACAACTCAGAAAGTCCATGAGCTCTCTGATTTGCAGCCCTGTTTCCTGATTGTATGCATTTGCTTCCCGTGGTCTCAGTACAGATCTCAAGATAGGGAAGAGTGTGGTCAGGAATCCTGTGCTTGTTGTAACACATACTCTGTGCCAACAGGCTGAGCACAGCGTGTTCTCAGTCAGTCACGACTGCTAAACGAGGCTGGCCTGGGCCCACGGCTTCACAGGAAGACACCTCCTGACTCACCCAGTCATCTGGAGGGGAGATGTCAGAAGGAGAGGTCAGCGATGGCCCTCGGTGACTCGTGCATTTAGATCAAAGTAGGGGGAGTCCGTCAGAACAAGGGCATCTGCAGGATGTGGCTCTGTCACAGCGTAACCCACCCAGCTCCCAGACCTGAGAAGGCGCGTGTCAGTGAAAAACTGGCACCCATTGCTGTCAGATGTGTGCTGGCCCATTCGGGGACCACACAGGCGTTAGTGGAGGGCATGGGGAGGTCATCCAACATAGGGTCCCTTTAGCTGCCAGACTTAAAGCAAGCTTGCGTTAATTAAAATGGAGAAAATGGGTAGGCTTCAGAGAGGCATAAGATCCCTTGGAGCATTGGGCTTTACTTCTTCCCTAGAAGAGATGTTTGCCATTCCACAGTGCTTTCAACAGGAAACCTCTCCCGGGTAGTGTGGTTTTCTCTTTGGGCTACGATTTGATCCTGTTCTATTGTTGTTTTTCTTTCCCTGTGTCATTTAAAATTTAGATAGTACAGCTTCCTTGTATCATTTAAAGTTGAGATGTTATGGGACATAATCCACTTCCCATAAAGATCACTGCTTTGTGCACTGTTCGATTTCAGGATTGCATCTGCCTGTGACAGCCGACTTTTGGCTACGACAGGACACAGGCCCGTTCTTTTCACAATTCAGATGTGTGTTTCTCTTCTTCTCTTGTCAATCAAAGCCGTTTTCCTCTAGAATCCTTGAGCCGACTTCAGATCAGAATCTGCGATCTTGCCTGAGGCTCTCAGGGGGCTCAATCTCGTAGTGAATTCAGGTGAGGAAAAATCTTTTCAGAACCTTCATCGTAGTGCTGGGAAAACCATTCGTTCCAGTTGGGCAACAGTGACCGTTTCTCTGGCAGAGTGAATTACCCTGTGCTCGGAATGTTCCTTCAACATAGACTGGCTCAGTTCTCTTATGACACAGGGGTTCCTGTTACCCTTCAATCAAATCTAAACGCAAATAAAGGCCTCTGAGACGAGTTCCTCTCCAAGACTTCCATGGGCAGTTTGCTTTAGCTCCGCCTCGCCCACGAAACCACAGTATGGGCTGGAATTGTCCATTGTCTCTTCCAGAAGACAGGCCTGAATTTACCCTTTCTGATCTCACAGGCAAGCTGGGAAGGAGACTAAGCAGGATGTAAGAGAAATAAAACCCTGATGGGGATTTTTATTTCAAAGGTGGAACTGACCTGGGGTTGCTGCATCCACAGTTTACGTGGTACCGTGAGCAGGATCACTCTTTCTTTCTTTTCTCCAAAAACAGGGGAAAGCCTGCATGAGCAGTATCTACTTTAGCAGGACTTTCAAAGTGGTGAGAAGCCCGGATAAAATTTGGATGCATAAGATGGAAACAGATCGATTATCGGTTTGAATGTTAGTATTGGCATTTAATCTACTGAATTTTAGTCTATTTAGTAAGTCTATTGTCTCTCCTAGCAAGCACTTTCCTAAGCGATGCTGAGGTGTACAGTAATAGAGCTCATTGTTGATCCTTACTTTCATATGAATGAATAAATTTTAATGCTTGCATTTAATATTTGGAAAAAAATGTTGCCCTTTTCTAGAAGCTGATAGTATTTCGTTCTTCAACTGCAGGCCTTTTCTGGCTAATGGGAACACAGAACGGCAGTTTATTAAATGTAACTGCAAACCAAAATGAAGCCTTTGTCTCATTACCTTTTATTCGGTAGATAATGTTTGGAGTTATTTTCTTAGAATTTTGCTCATAGGATGTGAAAATCCTATACCATATTACAAAGTAGGCATGTTTTTCTTTAGGAAATCATCTATTTCTATAAATCATTCTCTCTGTAGTGTTAAGCTACCTTTGGCATCAGAGATGCTTAGATTTGAGCTAAAAATCCCATCAGACCCATCTCTAGCATCTGGTGCTGCCATCTGGTGTTTTCTTTTAAAGTACAGTGTCTATGCTGTGAAAAATGCTATTCTTTTTGTGTTAACTCCACATACATTTGGGAAAGTGCCCTTAGAATACAAACCCCAGTTATTGAGAGCTACAATTATATATGTGATTTAAATATCATAAGTGCTGTTCCATGGCTAACTATTCCATTCTCTAAAGGCAAAACTCTCAGTGGGAATGTCATAATCAGAAAGACTCAGAAGGGCAGGACACATGTTCTCAAAGGAGTGTGCACATTTGTATCTTTTGGGTTTGGAGTTTATAAGAAGGCATGGAAGAAAGGAAACCAACTTATTATTGAGTACCTTGATGATCAGTACTATGTATTCATGATCGGAGCTTAATATTCCACAATATTACCATAAGACAGATACTATTTTCTGACTTCTATCTGGGGAGACTGAAGTTAAACAACCTGACCAAAGTTACACAGTGGGTTTGGTAGTGGGTGTCAGAGCCAGATCTAATTACGAAGACCCTATCTTTTCAAGTCTAAGAGGTGTGAAATGTGTGGGATACAACTTGGGTGTGGCTACCCTGCCAGGCTAGGACTGCTGAGTAAGCCAAAGTGGACAGAAGTGTGTTCATTCAGCAAATATATATTGTTAGGCATTGGACTAAGTATTAAATATCTAGTCATAAAAAAGACACAGTTCTTGATCTCATGGAGTTTTTATTCTTACAGAGGAAGTAATAGGAAATAAATATAAATAAATATACAGCTGCAAATTGTGATATACCAGTGAATAATGACAGGAGGTGGACATTCAGAATCTCGGTTAGAGAAAACCTCAGGGAGGAAGCGACATTTCAGCTGAGACATGACCTGTAAGAAAGAATTGGCCAGGAGGAAAGATGTGAGGAGAAGGGAGTAATAAGAGGAGGAGACATTCTGGCCGAAGGTAGTGTGGTCAGAGCTCAATGAGCTCAATGAGATGAGGCTGTAGAAACACCATAGTCCCTGCAGCTATCCAGGAGACATGGGTCATCAGTTGTGTGGCTCTTGCAGGGATCC